CCCCCAAGGAGGGGTTTTGCCAGTAATTGCCTCATTTGGCAGGGCGGTTTGGCAATCGCAGTTTGATTTTTGGTGATGTTTTAAGAGGGACGCTGCTACCCATTCCTCCACTACAATGTCTGTCTGTCTTCTCGGGATGGGATTTCAAAATCTAGCAGCTTCCGCTGTAAAGGGTTTGGGCATTTTGTTTCTAAAGTATCTATTATTAACTTTCCGAGGCTAATCTCGATGTATGTATGTGGAACATTCATATATCGAGATTAGTTGGAACTGCGGATTAAAATTTAGTTAGAGTTTACGTAGACACGCAAAGTTGCGATACGTATTCAAACGTGTCTCTGTGGATTTCTATGGATTTAGCCCTAACAAGCTAAGAGTTAGCGCATAATCCTTCATAGGCTTTGTGTCTTTGCTTGCATTCGTTATAACTTTCCTCGGACCGGATTGTTTGATATTCAATTCTAATTTTAGGTTACGTCACTAGTTGCCTACTATTTAAAAAGATTATTTTTTTTACAACACAGGGGACAAAGCATGCGACTTATTTGATGGTAAGTGACTATCGCCGCCCATGATCACCTGCAACATCAAATGCATTGCAGGTGTGCTGCTGGCCTTCTAAAAAGGAATATGCTGCTGGAAGTTGATTCCAAAGCGTGGTTGTGCGTGGAAGAAAGTGCATTGAAAAACGCAAGGTGGAAGACCGCCACTCGTCCAGATGGTTGGGATGAAACTTTAGTTTGTGGCCTCATCAGGCGGCCACATCGCTGAGCAATCTCTTCCAGACAACCTTTGGGTAGAGGACATTGAGAAAAAGACAAAGGGTAGGTGGCGCACTATTATATAAATATTATCATATACAAACATATATACATACATATATATATATATATATATATATATATATATATATATATATATATATATATTATTATTATACAATTATGAATACAAAGAGATATTGAAGAGTCGATTTTGATTCGATATTCCGCATGGACTGCTAAAACCGGCGTTTTCGCCATTCTGAACGTGTCTAAACTTCACTTCACGAATATTCCGTTAACATTACGCTACAATGGTCGAATAAAAAAAATCGAAAGTGATCTTAACACGCGTCTAGAAATCGTGACTTGGTTATCTGAGGGGGTAAAAAGAGTTGCTTTATACGAATCTTAATAACTTGCTGGTGCGAATTTATAAGAGATTTTATTTATTTATTTATATAAACTTCAATGCATAATTATATAAGTAAGTGTACATACAGCTAACGGTGTTTTCACATACATATATACATGTACATACACACACACGCACACACGTATGTATGTATGTATGTATGTATGTATGTATGTATGTATGTATGTATGTATGTATGTATGTATGCATGCATATATGTATGTATGTATGTTTGCAGGCGGCCATTAAAAGTCGTTGACTGTACCGTTGATTACAACAGTCGTGTCACGTTATCACTTTTTTTTAATGATTTTAAACATTATTAGTAAATAGCATGATAAAGTAAGAGACAGATATACCGCTCTTGAAATAAACAAGTCTTTATTTCTTACTACGAGTATCTTTTTGCTCGTGACTTCGTATCCGTGGAATTCAGAAGTACTTTCCTTTGGAATCAACTTCCAGCTGTCCAGCAATATTTCCGAACCGATACGACAACATAACCTTCAAAAAAAGAGCATATTCCTATTTAAAAGGCCGGCAGCATACCTGCAATGCCGCTGGTGTAGTGGGTGATCATGGGCGGCGGTAGTCACTTACCATCAGGTGAGCCGCATGCTCGTTTGCCCCCTGTGTTGTAAAAAAAAAATAGAAACATTTAATAAATAGACCATTTCTCGATAACGTATCAGAGTAAAACATATACCAGTTCTTAAGTTTCTCCTTCAGGGGTACAGCTATGAAAACTGCATCCTATTCGGTGCAGTAGTTTTTACTTGATGTCAGAACAAATATACAGATAGACAGATAGTAAAATTTCTAAAGGTTATTGTTTTTGCATCTATTAGTCTTATGAAGTCCCCTTATATAAATTTCTCTTAAATATCTCCCTTGGACAGATTTAATTATTATTATTACCATACATGAGCTGTTAAATGTCCACTGCTGAACATAAGCCTTTCCCATACTATATTTTAAATTTCTCCTTCAGGAATACAACTGTGATAACTGTGATGCCTGAACAAACATTGTCTAAGTTATTGTCTTAGTTACTATGTTATTATATTTGTAAGATACATTCTATTAGTTTTTACCCGCGACTTTGTTTTCACCTCCTTCAGGACTTCGCAGTAAAATGCGGTGTTTAATATAAGCTAGAACGAGCTATTGTCACTTTAAACAAAAAACCATTGGCCAATAGCCGATTACAAAACCATTACCACAAATTTGGTATATTATATATACAAATTGGGAATCTAATTGGCTAATATATGGTATATATATATATATATATATATATATATATATATATATATATATATATATATATATATATATATATATATATATATATAATATAAATAATGCAATAAAACCATAAAAAGTTATAGAAAGATATTCAAAGTACTACTTATACTAAGTTAAACTTATACTATTAAGTAAAATAAATAAAAATAAACTGACCAATGAGTAGAGTACCTATTTGTCTAAGCCTTTTTTTAGTTACTGTTGCAATAAAAAAAGTAAATATTTGAAAATATCGTTCGAAAAATTAAAAAAAAATATATTAGTACAATGGCGCGAAATTTTGGCCGGCAGATAGTTCACAATATTATTCAGGAAACATGAATGTAACTTGTCACGACTTTGATGAATAGGAACGCTAGTTTCCCATACAATATCAAGTCGCCTTACAGAGTAATGTAATACATGTCGTGTAATCACGAAATATGATTGGCAGCCGTTCTATGTCGAGATGTCACATCAGAAATGGCAACAAAAAGTAATTGTCATTCGGAATTCAATGAATCTCATCTGTCTACATACGTATGTCTACAGATCGTTGTAAAGAGTCGAAACGTTAAAGAAACTTTTCGTGAATACTTCTAAAGTAATTTTCTTGTTAAATATGTCGAAGAATGTTTCCATTTCTTGCGCGAAATTCTTTTGTTTTTTTTTTTTATCTTGTAATTGGGTTATTTAATAAAGTTTTATTTTAAGTAAAAAAAAATCCTTTGAAGAATATAAAATCTATTTACAAAAGATAATCTATAAAGATAAAAGATATCTATATTTTTTTTAATATATGATAAAGGAATGGTAGCCCAGTCTGAGCTAATAGTATACGATGGCGGGACAGTGAGAGATGATAGGTGAGAATGAAAAGGTAGGTCAGTTAGCACTGATGAATAAACCTGGAATTCAGGGGGGAAAAGGATTGTTAGCGATGGGGCTTAACAGCCCCAATGCTAGCAATGTTACTAATCAGGTAGACCTCCACGTGGTTTCCCCTGGAAACCATCGTGGTTACTCTCGTGAAATTCTTCACGTTGGGCTAACTGACCTGCTTTCATCGTCATCTATCATCTATCACTGGTGCCCCGGCAGCGTATACCGTTAGCGAAGGCTGGGTTACTATTGCATTATCACCCATTAAAAAAATCTGGAATTCAGCATTATAGTGGGCCATCATCTTGTTTGCCAATCTTTGTTGCATAAAAAAAAATCTTTTTAGTTAAAATATAAAGCGCTTTTTTTTTCGGTGTTGCTAGTAACTGGAATAAAAACGTCCCAGATCAGATCAAATTTTTAAATTTCAATTTGGAACAATTATTTTCTGATAATATTATACACATGTATAAGTGGTTTATAAATTAATATACTTTCTGTTAGCTTGGAGGATTGAAATTACTGGGTACTGTAACTCAAGGGTATAATCGATCATCTTTTTTTATGGGTGACAATGGAATGGTAACCCCGCCTGCGCTAACGGGATACGCTGGCGAAGCACCAGTGAATGGTGATCGATGAGAATGAAAACAGGTGAGTTAGCCCATCATGATGAATTCATCACGAATTAACCATGATAATTTCCAGGGGGAACCGCGAGGAGGTCGACCTGGTTGGGTATATTGCTTGCTAAAACTGAGAATCTTATTAGATTCTCAGTTTCCATTACTTACACTAACTTTCCCCCTTAATCACAAGGGTTGGCAACACGCGAGCAATCGTATACATCAGGCGGACCAGACCGCGTGCTTAGCTATCTTCTACTTTCTTAATAATGCATTAGTTTTTAGATGAAATAAAAATACTTCGTGATTTGATATGATTGCTGACACATGATGCACTTAGGGTTGCACAAATTGTTTTTATGTTGCTTAAAGGCTGTAAAGTTGTTTACACGACTGGACGCTTGTTACTCAATCACGATTAAATGGCTGAACTGATTTTAATGAAATTTGTTACATAGTTGGACAAACATAGTATATTGGGGCCGCCTGAATATCAGCGCTATATAGGTACATCTCGCTGGAGCTGTACATATGTATATATATAGCAACAGCTGAGGCGGCTTCTATTACCAGCAACACTAATTGTTTTTTTTTTTTTTCTTTTTGTTTTAATTTTTTATTTTCTTAATACTGGTAATAAAGGTCATCTATCTATCTATCCATATTGTACTTAATATAAGTATTAAATAAACTACATACAGCTTTAAATTATTAGAAACATATAAGCCATATTTTTGTGACTTTAACACCTCTTTTTGTGTCCAATAAGTTTCTAAACAATGTACTTCTCAGAATAAAATATAAGCGGATTGTATGATAACAAAAACGCTCATCACCTACACATCCGACCTTGTCAAAGCTTGCGATGACTTGGCGACGATTAAATAAACCTAATTCAACACATTCGAATCGATACCTTAAGCCCTCCCAATAGAGCTGCCGAAAGTGCCGAACCGTTCGGCTACCTACCCTTGTATTAATTACCGAGGTATAAACAAACTCATTGTTTTCAGATGGAAAACCGGCCGTGAGTCGAGCCTCGTCATTCAGTCGTGTCGCGTCGGTTCGACGGCGCGGACTACTGTTTTGACGTTACAACGTTGTCGTGCACCGCGGCGCGTGTGTTCGAAAATCAAATTGTGCTTTTTACTTTTTTTAATTTTATCTGTGCAGTGCAAGGATTTGATACCAACGGATTAAAAAGAGGTTTGTTAATTATTTTATTTTGAAATCAATATTATTTATATATATATATTTTTTACGTAACTATTATTTCCTATTTTAATATCCGCTTTACGTTCTCTAATTAATGGACAACAGCGAGTTATTTACTGTTCGAGTAAAAGGGAAAAATTCTTATTGGACCCAATTAGCTAAAAGGCAAGTGGGGTTACTATATATATATATATAAAAAAAAAAATGTTTGTTACGCTTTCTTCCTATCATTTAATTCCTTAGTTTTTACTACCGTTGAATAATTGATTTCCTACTTTTCGTGACGGATGTGAATTGTTGGTTTATTGTTTTTATTGGCTGTTGTTAAAAAACAGTTAGCAGTTGGTGATGTTGGGTAAGCGTACATTACACGTATAAAGCTTTCTACGTGAAAAACTTACAAGAAATCTAGTTATCATATATTTTATTATCTTATAAAAGGTCCGGGTCACTTTTATTTACCTATACAATGTCAACAAGAACCTTCGAAAGAACATGGACGTGTTTTTTATGGGTATTTTAATATAATAAATTGTAGTGTCTGTAATAAAATAAATAAGTAATAAAATAAAGAAAAATTTTTGCGTAGTATTAAAAACGAAACCGTATCGGGTTGTCAGTTAAAAGATAAGCAAAAAATTATAATTATGACATAATCCATAAACACAAAGACGATCTTTAGTCATTGGCCAGGCGTAAATAATTACCGGTTGTTAGGTATAACTGTATTAAAAATATTTAATCTTGAATAGTACCGGTTATTCTGGTTCTATTTTCACAACCTTCATGAGATCATATGTGAACATTTTAAATTTAGAATCGGTTATATTTGTTATTTTAATTTTTCATTAAAAAAATTGTATTTATTTCAATTTTTGATATATACTATAGTAGGCCCACGTCACTTGCAATAAATAAAAATAGTTTGCTAAATGTATGTTACAAATTTAATTTGAAAATTTATATTATTGTCAGGTCTTTGATGATAAATATCGATATCGATATTTTGGATAGAATTTATTCTAAATACTTGTACAACGCTACGAATATTTGTTTATTTCATTGTATAAATACTTTTAGATAGTTACATAGATTTATTTTCCTGCTTCGTCAATAATAAGAGCAGTAACGACTCACAAACAACATAGTGATTAGTTTTAGAGTATATCTCAACATGGCGTCACAAGTTGTTTATATACAAGTTTACATATACATAGTATATATAAGAAGTCCATCTTCATTTTATATTAAAATTAAACTACCTAATGGGGAAATTGCAGGGGGAAAGGGATTGTCAGTAATGGAGACTAAGAATCCCATTGCTAGCAAATATACCCAACCAGGTCGACCTCCACGCGGTTCCCCCTGGAAACTATCATGGTTAATTCCTGATGAATTCATCATGATGGGCTAACTGGCCTGTTTTCATTCTCATCTATCATCCTTCACTGGTGCTCCGCCAGCGTATCCCGTTAGCGCAGGCGGGGCTACCATACCATTATCACCCATCAAAAAACAAAAACCATTAAAAGCTTTCCTCTTTATAAACATTAGTGTAAATAGATAGAATCTTCTCTTTAACAGCCATAATCATTTCTATTCTTTTCTATTCATACGTAACGTACGCATTCTTTACGATGTACGTAAAGAATATTATTTTTTTTTACTTTTTTTAAATATTTTACCCGTAAATAATCTTCATCGCAAACGTTTATTTTTATTTATAGTAATTTAATTTAAAAAAAAACACCTGTATGTATCTACATTTTAAGTTGCAAATAACCAGAGGGAGACTTTGTACAAAAGTCGTTTGCTTGGCTACCTCTGTCCCATTCGTGTTTCAACTGCGAAGTAGCTGTGCTTGCATGGCTGTGTTTCGGTTTGAAGGATGGGATATGGCGTGAATTTACTGGGTACAGAGGAATAACACCTGAGTCCTCAGGAATGGTAACGCATGGGGGGTATCATGGGCGAAATAGTATACTCTGTTATGTCCACGGTACTGCTCATGTCTATAGGCGACAGTTACCACTTTCCATCGGGTGGGCCGTCAGCTTGCCATTCTAAGTTGTATAAAAAAAAAAAAAAAACTAATATATTTTTATACGTTGTTAGTACAAGAAAATTAAATATTGATCCTGGTGCGTATTACTTTGAAGATACTCGTAGATACGTAATTAACATTTTGTTTGAAGGATAATGCCATGTTTATGTTATTCTTGTTTTAAGTTTAACAAAGTAATACAAAGTTACTACCTACGTCAATACAATGAATAATAAACTTAAATGCAACGACATACATATTCTTTTACATTTAGAAATATTTATTTAATCTTTTCATATTTTTTTTTTGGCTACCATTTTAAAAATGGAACAGTATAGTTTTTTTTTTATGGGTGATGAAATAGTAACCCCACCCGCGCTATCGGTATACACCGGCGGGGCACCAGTGAAGGATGGATAGGTAAGGATGAAGCAGGTCAGTTAGCCTATCGTGATGAATTCAACAAGAATTGTTCACGATGGTTTCCAGGGGGAACTACGTGGAGGTCGACCTGATAGGGCCTATAGCTAGCAATGGGGCTATCAAACTCCATTGCTAACAATCCCTTCCCCCCGGAACAGTATAGTTAATTTAACGTTCTACTGAAGAGATTAAGACTCTCTCTTTGGTTGCATCCGAATGTATCTCAATTAATTGGTTACATAGATTTCATACAAATGTTCTTTTGTTTGAAGTGACGAAGGCCTGGTAGATACATCATCACTATTAGCATATCTCATATTTATCCACTGCTAAGTATAGACCTCCTTTCTACTGCGCTATGAATAATAATGCAACCATCCTGTGCCAACATCATCTTATGCCAGCTAGTAAGGCAATAGTTTTCAATCAGGCAGAAGAGATTGTTAGTATCGGGGTCTAATAACCTCATTACTGGGGGGAAAGGGATTGTTAGTAATGGAGACTGAGAATCCCATTGCTAGCAATATACCCAACCAGGTCATACTGATAGCGTATACCGATAGCGCAGTCGGGGTTACCATTCCATTATCATTATTGAGAAAAAAAAAAACGTATAGGTATGTGTTATTATCAAATAAACAAAAAAAAAACGTTTAAAATTTTAGTTCCTTTGTATATTCCGGAGACGAAAAGTGGTAAATAATTGTGTTGTACCGTTACCACACGGAAATAAAATATATCAGAACAAATACAATCAATTATTTCCGTCTTCCTTCCCTTTGATATTACACGGAATTCTGCCTTTGCACAAAAATAACATTATAATTTTCCAATTCAATTTTTAAAGCCTCACAAACGGTTCGGCGGGAAAAGTTCATTACATTTAGATAAAGAAAAAGGTCATAGATACATTTTTTTTTAAATAAAAAAAAAAGTAAAGCAAAAGCGAAAGTGACACAGTTGTGTCGTTATTCTTCGGAATGGTGAGTTCAAGGTTGTATATATCGACTAAGTAACTAAAATAGATTTGGTTTCACGTCATTTAAACATCAATAAATGAGATAATATACAAGTATGCGTGATTTATCATCAGAACTTAGGATTTGCGCCCTCTGGAGATGATCCTTGTACTTTTTAATCCGTCAAAATGAGACGGGCATTGAACTTATTCGAGTTTATGGGAAGTTCCCAGTGGATATAATACATGTAGTATTTTTTTTTTATATTAGCCCTAAGAAACACAATATTTTTTTTCAATGATGTAAAATTTATTCCAATTTTTCCATTGCTTGTGTCTTGATTGTTTGTAATGGATAAACTGAAAAACTGCCCAATCGATTTCATTTTTTTTATAAAAGGCTACATTATTAGCGAGTAACATTTTTTTAATGGGTAAAAATGTCATGGTAACCCTGCTTGCACTATCGGTATACACTGGCGAGGTACCAGTGTGATACCAGGGGTGACAAATTTAACAATAAATCTGTCACGATAGTTTCCTGGAGTAACCGCGTGGAGGTCGACCTGATGGGGTATATTGATAGCAATGGGGACTAACCTCCTCAATACTAACAATCCCTTCTCCCCAGTAACATAGTTTATATATTATTATTTTTAAAAATTAGAGCCCCCCCCCCCTCCTATTATTACAATAATGTATGAAAATTTTGCCGTAATTACAAAATTATTTGTACTTACATAATTATGCATAATCTAATTTTTTTTAATTGAACTGTCAAATCTTAAAATCATGAAACTAAATTTCTAATGTAGGTAGTATATAATTTTAATTTATTATGTACAAATTCAGATGTTTAATTTTCTATAAATTATTAAATTACATTGTATATAATAATATATTAAATAAATTTTAAATTAAATTATTTGAGTAATCTTAATTATAATTTACTACATTTGCATATTATACCACATTTCTTTATAATGGATTAATTTACATGTTTGAATCACAAAAAAATATGCATTGAAGTTTAAAAAAAATAACATTAGAAAGCACAATATCCATGCTAAAAGGATGACCTCAGATTAATTTTCTTAAAATTAAACATACCTATCCACATTATGGTTTATAAAAAATAATTACATTACGTACGTGGATATATTTAAATGTAATAGCAAAAAACAACCATAACGTCGAATTGATAAAGTTGAAAATTGAACGACTACAAACAACCAATGTCAAAGTCATCCGGGCTCTTAAACGATGTATTATTTTGGACTGATGCAACACAACCTTGAACTTTGCTGGTACGTTTTCTTTATACACAGATTATAAAAAGAGACGTAATGCTTCTTACTGCCTCATGGTTTATTGTTAGTGGTAATTAGGTATTTTTTTACCGTGGGCCCGAAATAGTCTAACCTGATTCCCATAGACAATGGCGTGTGGACAGAAGACATGCGATAAAATTAAATAAGTTCATGTATGAAAAGCATAATTTATTATTGCTTAGATTTTTGAACATGGTAAGGTATTAGATGAATCAAAGTTGGCACAGTATATATA